GCGGATGATTAAAACGCACCTATTAAAAATATTGCGCCAAGATGTAGACAACACGTAATAAGGGTTCAAAATGGGGGAGTTTTCTATCTCCTTTTAAATGGCACTCAGAAAGCTGCGCAGTGCGACCATTCTCCGTATAGTAAAAGAAAATCAAAGTATGTGTAGCAATACCATAATAGTCAAAGTAATCAAATTAACGAATATTTGGAATGATTACTTGATACGAAAGTAACGAATACCTACTCGAAAGTAACTCCATTTCTAGTTCTCAACTCATCATTTGTTTTTGTATATGTTTCAGTATTTGTCATTGTCATTCTGTCAAGTTAGGTTATATAATTTTCTTGTTCTGTAAAAGAGTGTCAATTAAACCTACTATACTCTGTTTTTAAACTAAGAGGAGCGATTTGAATTTAAGTTGGCAATTCTGTAGCCTTCTGATTGGTCAGATTACAGTCAGTTTCACACATTACTTTTTAGCATGAACATCAGCTAATAATTGATATTGTTGACAGTTTTGACATTTTATAATTTGATATCTCATCCATTACTTAGTTTTTTACTTTATTTCGTAAATAATAGTTCTTCAGTAAGCAATTGTATTGAAAATCTACAATTATGGATCCTTCTACACTGAGTACTATTAAAGGTAGCAATTCCTGAAAAGCCTTACAAGAAAGGGAAGACACCTTATTATTTTACATGCTGATTCTGAAGGTTTTGTAGAAAATGCAATATTGGTTTTTGAAGGTAAAAAGATGGGAGATTACCATGAAGAGATGAATTCCGAAGTATTTTAGAAAAAAATAATTTTATTACTGATTTTTTAAAACTAAAAATTGATGAATTTCTAACCAAAATGATTAAAATGTAACTAAATATTCAAGCAAATTTTATTTATTAGAATAGAATAAAACTATTTACAAAATTGTTATAACATTTAAAACACCATCTACTATTTTAGGGATAATCTTAATTTGGCACAATGAGTTAACATTACTTTCACAAAAAATATTTTAAAAATACTTAAAATTAATACATAGGTATGTATGAACAGTTCACTTTAAAAAATATATGTTGACATGTAGTGTTATGAAAATGTTCGTTCCAGTTTTCAAAACAAATTCTGACTCATAGGCCTGTAAACTTTTGAATGCCTTTATTTGCCCTCTAGCGCATTAACCATGGGTTAACACTAAATAAGCCATAATATCCACATTACTCATAGAAGAGATACCAGTTACTGTGTGATCCACTTGTCATTCGCTGATTAACTTTTACTTTTTATACCTATAACAAATATATCCTTAAAAATGTAAACATCTTTATATTTTATACTAACCTGGCTACATCTGGATATTCCATTAACAATTTTCTTAAATATTTAATATCCATTTTAAAAAGATCATAGTTATTCTCAAAAAGTTGATTTCAAAAGCAAGAAAAAAGTATTTCTGACATCAATCAACAACCATATTGACTTTAATTTGACAGTGACATTTCGTTTTAGACACACATTTCAGATCACAATAATGTGAAATTTGCGACCGTTGTCTGGGACCAATTAAAAAATTACTTCTATGACATTTATTCGTTTCTTAACCGCTCATTGGCCATTCACCGACTAAGGCCGATAAAGATGATTATTTCATAAATTTTGAACACTACTATATTTCGAAACTCGCTCTTAGTAACAAATCTAGTTACTTTTCCCTGTGTAAATGCGTCTTTTCAATTCGCTCCTCCTAGTTTAAAAACAGAGTATAGTGAGAGTTCATTATTTTTTACAAAGACTAAACATGGCGCATAATGATGTCATGCCCTGCTTCATTTGTCCTGCTGCTTTTCGTCCAAATCTAATGGTACGTCTTGATGGCGTCAATGATATTGATAAGAGAAACATTGCTATCCAACGACGTCTTGCCAAAAACAGACCCTTGATCGATATAGATGATCAAACAAGAGCATGTGCGGCTTGTAACAGGTCGATTGTAAGAGAGTTGCGTGTTCTTGAGCAAGATCCAACCTGTATGCGATTAAACGTTTTGACACAAACAGCTAACCAAACGTGTATGATATGCAATTCGCCCGATGCTCGTCGCTTAACACTTGACGCAAGAGTTGATGTATTCGTGAAAGTTGATACATATATATTCCCCCAAATACAAAATGTTGTAATTTACATGTTGACGACACTGGGCGACATTTCCAAAGGCTATTGACAGGCTTACGCTCCGTACCTCAGAGTAAGTAAGTAGTAAAGAGAGGACAGTAAACAATGTTTGTGTCGCCATGATAATACGGTCGAGAATTCTAATTAGAGAGAAATAGATTAATATCTCTATCTCTTTGTTTGTATTTGTCAGTTTTACAAAGCTTTTCTCAGACAATTATTCCAGTGTTTAATTTAAATTTGTTCGTGTTGTGGTGTTAAAAGTAATTGTTATTAATATTATATTCATAACAAAAAAGTCATATTTTGTTTTCACTTCATTAAAAATGCACCTACCTACCTTTTAAAACATTAACCCAGCGAAATTGTTTTACGGTACGCTACTGCTGAGAATTCTAAAACGAGTGAGAAAGCCTTCATTAGAAAGAGAGATACTGATTATATGATAGCGAGATTAATATTGTATAACTTTATGCAGTAGTGGCCTATCTGCTATTATATTATCTAAGCTCCGTACTTCGTCCTTTGGTGCGTTTGATTTGATCATCGAAGATCTCCGAGCGCTTCAAAAGTGTTTGAATTGACACTCCGAGAGATCCCTAAAGTGTTTGTTTCGCTTTGGAGCGAGAATATAGAGCGAGCTCGATGTTCTCAGAGCAGAAAGATCGAGAAGAGGGAGAAATTTGTCTTTTTCTCTACCTATCTCTTTTTAATTAACTTACAAACAAATTTGAATCTCAAAATTAAAGACCAGACAAGAAGTCAACAAATTACTTAGCCGCTTTTGTCTTATAGCTAAAATTATTCATCATAAAAAAACACAAAATGTGTGTTTGGAAAATACATTTTTTCTGTCCAGATCTAATCACCAGTAATCACAGTCATGGAGTAGGAGAGCGAAGCGGGCATTTGTGGTAAATGCTGCATTTCAGGCCCATTACCCCTTATTATTAAAAGTTTTTCCATTTTGTTTACTTTTTGCTCACTATTTTAACATACAAACCAGAAACTAGAATCACAAAAAAGCGAGGTTATGTTTTTTACTCTGTTTTATTTGATTTGATTCAATGCTCTATTGTGACGTCATCACTTCTCGGTCTCCTCGACGCTCGCTCGATCGAGTTTCAAATCAAACGCCCCTCTTGTATCATTCCAGGTAAGAAAATGCAAATCTTTTTGTCAAAACTGCGTCAATTGGCTAAAGCTGGCTTGACTATCATCAATGAGAATGACATTGCCGAGGACTTTCAATGCATTTCACCGCTGACCAAAGAGCAGTTCTATGAATGCTAATGCTTCACGGCTTGTTACGAAGACCCAATGGATTGTGGAGGCCAGAAATTGCCACATCAAATCCATTTTTAAGTTATTCGGACAGCTTATTCATACTTCTCATATTGAATACCTGGGTGAATTCTATCGAATAGCGGGAGCTATTATCAACAAATACCACCCATTAATTGCTATGGAAGGCTACAACGCAGATATGGCACGTGAAATGCTATCCAAGGCGAATGAAGAAGTCAATGTTGTAATGGCTCGTGTGGATGAATTCAGATTGAGAAACCGAAATGCGATGTGGATACATATTGATGCGGCTAACCTGGATGACTTTCCTCGTTTGGATTTAGACTATCTGCGAGATATTACGGTTGGAATATATACAAATCAATCTTGCACCTTCATATATACAGGACAAGTTGCGGCGGTATACCATAGAAAAGCTACACATATATCAGTTAAATGCAGAACCACGATTTCTCCGAGCAAGAGTGTACTCACGATTCCGAAACGCCACCACGTACCAGATATGGATTGCTTATACGATTATTAAAGAACTCGAAGAAAACGATCAGGAAGAAGATGTCATTATTGGACATTATTGCACTTGCAAATCGGGTGCTAGAACGCTGGGCTGTTGGAGTCATATTGCATCCATATTATGGTACTTGGGATATGCAAGACATGAACCTGAAATTCGGTACCCTCCGTCTAACCTTCTTCATAGCGTTTCTGACGCTGCCAACTGGCTAGCGCAATAGCGGCCCCATACAGGTATCCAATGGGTTAAATTGTAACAAGGCTTTCCTTATTAAATTATTTTATTAATTGTTTGATTTAATTGTTGTTTATATTTATCTTCACTGCGAACCGTAGTATACGAGTAATCAATGTAATAATTTGGTTTTTTGATCGTTACTTCGGGTATCTTCAAGTAACGATACTCGAGTGCCGAATTACTTTTTCAACATCACTATTGACAACTATTTATTTTTCATAACGGCCTTAAAAAAGACCTTTAAAATAGTTCAAAATAAGATAGAAAACAGAAACAAACATCCAATGAGTAAAATACGAAAAAGATCGTTTAGTGAATGAGACATTCATTGGTCAGTCTCTCCGAAACTATTGGTTATTAGACTTTGGCGCAATGGTAACTTTTAATCAGTAAGGCTTCCTCTATACAATAATAAAAATTCAGGCAATTCCCACATAGATCACTTTTCCATAAGGTTTGAGCGGGGTCCTTTCGACTTATCTCGAAATTTTGACTTTAATCTCGAAATTTCGACTTTAATCTCGAAATTTCGTCTTTATTCTCGAAATTTTGACTTTAATCTCAAAATTTCGACTTTAATCTCGAAATTTCGTCTTTATTCTCGAAATTTTGACTTTAATTTAGAAATTTCGTCATTAATCTCGAAATTTCGACTTTAATCTTGAAATTACGTTTTTAATCTCGGAATTTGGACTTTATTCTCCTCGAAATTTCGACTTTAAACTCAGCCCTTCTGCTTCTAAATGTATCAAATATGTTTATTTTTACCTGTAGAAGGCTCTACTACATGCTGCTAATATGAAACGGTGTGCTGGGAATCCCACAGATCCTACGACCAGTACGACATCTGTGTGAGCTCGACTCAACCAGAGATGTCGCATGTTGTCCGAGAACGATCCTATTGATATATGAACTTCGGGTTTTAGAGGTGGGGGTGGCTTGAAAGGTGCCTGCCGGAAAAAAATATTATTTAAATAATTAATATACCTTATAATAAATAGATTTATTGCTTTTAAAAACAAATCTTTTTACAGTAAGGGTTTGACATACAAAAACATACCTGTTTTTCAAATATAAATTAATTATTAATCAAATAAAAAATAAAAGAAATTCCTAGACATTCCAAACTGTTGTGTCACCTTAGCCACGGCGATCCGGCATCGTGGCTAGAGACTAGGGTTGCCAGACGTCTCGCTTTAGGCGTATTTTCCGTGCTTTTTGACTTGCTTGTACGCTCAACACCACAGTACGAAAATGTCCCACTTTTGATAAAAATGCCACTCTATTTATGCAAATGCCATGCTGGATTTATAGAAAAATATAAGGTGAAGAGCTTTTTTTAGATAAATATCGGCTAAAGGACCCCCGTTAAGAAAAATAGGGGCTGACAACCTTTTTTTTAGAAATTTCACAAATAATGGACCTGATTATATAAAAATGCTTGGTATTTGAAATGCTCTGTCTTCACGGTTGTCACGCTTTTCACTTTCGTAAATCTGGCAACCCTACTAGAGCCACATGGTCCTAACCTAACTCTTGGCACCGGCTCGAGAGGTGGCATGTCGTATTTTCGACTGGGTGTTATTCTGGACATTTGTGAAGTAATAAAGAAGTTTATACGAGGATTTGCATTATTAGTGTTGTAGTACCTAACACAATACAAACATAATGGAGTTGTCTGTGGGTTATGATATGGCAACCCTGTAAGCCTAGTGATTTGACATGGTCAATGATATATAGTTATAAAGATTATCATCAATATTTTTCAAAATAAACATAAGCTTATGCCTAGAAAAAAAATGTAACTAAACCGATTCTGATTAATGAGGACTGGCCAGGCAATATGGCCACTCGCAAAATGACCAATGAACTGGAGTGGGGTAGAAAGCAAATGTGCATATTGTATCAATAGAACAAGATGCGATTCCATGGGCGCAGCCATTTTTATTGCTCATCTCACTCGGGAGTATTTATAATAATCATTTTCTGTTTCAAATTGTTATTGTTCAGTCCACAAGCTGGTGGATCAGACACTAAAAATGTGAAATAGAAAATGGTTATTATAAATACTCCCAAGTGAGATGAAAAATAACCTGTCTTCGCCTATAGAGTCGCATCTCAAACCTATTGACAAGCATTCTACCCCACTCCAGTTCATTGAAAACAACATTTTGCTTTGAGCAGTCTATATAACTATATATGTCGCAGATAGCACACGACGTCTGAAAGACGTCTTTTTTGTATCTTGGTTTGGTCTCAATATCCTAGGACGTTATTAAGACGTCTTATAAGACGTCTTGCATGAGCCATAATTCAGACGTATTAATGTGAGAGCTCAAAGACGTCTTAAAGACGTCTTGCCAAATCCATATATTAATGTGAAAGCTCAAAGACGTCTTACAAACGTCTTTCAGTCGGACGGAAACTTGCACGGTTTACATAATTCAAATTTAACAAAAAGAATCAAATGAAGTGAAGTTTGACGTTTGACTTAACATTACATTCAAACCGAACTTCCGATTCGGACACCGTCGTGGCAACATTAAAATGACGGTCTCCGAATCGGGAGCCCAGAAGTCCCATAAAAATCACAAAATATCTAGTATAAAAGTGACCATCCGACTTTAAAAAGTGTACAAAATTAAACAAAATATTGAGTGTAATATTTGGAGAAGAATATTGAAATCAAATATCAAGTGCAGTGGAAAAGTGAAAAGATTGAGCCCATCTAAAACGAAGAAAAGAAGAAGTACATTCAAGCCCAAGCCCAAGCCAAAAATGTATGGCCCAAGCTCATTGTGGATTATTGATTATTTTATTGCGTGTGCGATTATATAGTCTCCAAAAGCGACTTTGTGCTATTTTGAGGATTTGTGTCTCTTTCTACTTAAATAATATGGGACAAAAACCAGAGAGGGAAGAATACTTTCTGTTACAGATGTATCACGTTCCTGGAATACAGGTAATAAATGAATATTTGTTTATATACATAGAACATTAATATCCTGTTTCTTCTAAGAATAACTAAATTAATTTAAAAGTAAACATCTTAATATAAGATTTAATTCAGATATTCGTCAATTATCATTTTTGTTTTTGTTTTCATAGAGATTTTAAGAACTATTAATATCAAAAACTCCCTATTAGATAGCCATTTTGAGTGAAGTTAAAGTAGGCGATTAAGCATAATAGCTCATATTGAATTAAATGATTATAAAAAAATTTTGATTTAAAATTCTAAGAAATTAATTTTTGTTGTGTTTTATAGATAACTGATCTTTCGGTTTTTACTAACTTTTGCAAAGTATAATTTTCTGTGACTAGATGCTCTTAACTAAATTTCTTTTTAGGCAACTACAAATCAAATAGAAAAATCAATCCAGTTATGGCTAAAGAGGATTGATCGAATGCGCTACAAAGAAAATACCTCTTAGTGACCTGTGATTAATAGATATTTTATCAATAAATATTTTAATTCTATGTTTTGCATTATTTATAATCTGCAAGGTTGTTCTACTTTTTAATTACCAAATAAAGTCCTACGTTCATAAGACATCTTAAAGACGTCTTATTTATGGCTTCACAAGACCATTATAAGCTATTAATAAGTCGTCTTAAAGACGTCTTATTTATGGCTTATTTAAAGCTTCACAAGACCATTATAAGCCATTAATAAGACGTCTTAAAGACGTCTTATTTAAGGCTTCACAAGACCATTATAAGCTATTAATAAGTCGTCTTAAAGACGTCTTATTTATGGCTTATTTAAAGCTTCACAAGACCATTATAAGCCATTAATAAGACGTCTTAAAGACATCTTATTTATGGCTTATTTAAGGCTTTACAAGACCATGATAAGCTATTAATAAGTCGTCTTAAAGACGTCTTATTTGTGGCTTATTTTAAGCTCTACAGACCAATATAAGCCATTAAGACGTCTTAAAGACGTTCCCTTTTGTACCATCAGACGTCTTCTAAGACGTCTTTCAGGAAATACCAGACGTCTTAAAGACGTCTCTAATGTCTTATGCGAGAGGTCTTAAAGACGTCTTTAAGACGACTTTGTGCTATCTGGGGTATCATTGACCATGTCAAAGCCAACAGGCCTACAGGGTTGTCATATCATTAGCCACTGCCAGCATTTTAACAGGTCGTTGGAATAGAAAGTTTTAGAGTAAGATAATTTTTAGACATGTTTTTTGTAAAAACATTGTAACAATTGAGGAAAGGAGATCTGTGGACCGTTACTACATCGTCATTATGTAGCTTGTTATGAAATTGAGACAATAATTTGTTTTTATTTCGTTTCAGAGTCAGCGTAATCGATCAAATATAAAAATAAATGATCATTGATTCATGAAAGTAAAATTTTGTAATGTAATTTTTTACGAGCATTACAAAAATTACTGACTTTTATTTCGTATTGTTTTTAACGTTGCTAATTCCGGCGTATACGTTCATAAATAGAACAGATAATTATTTCCTATTCTCGTTTCAACGCTATTTAGCGAAATCTTCCAATGACCAAAAATGTCAACAAATTAAACTGGCTGAATTTAAGTCGAGTTTATATCTAGTGATCAAAAATTGTTCATTAAAATAAGCCAAGGAAAAATCAGGCATCTTCTTCTTTCTTTTTTAATGAGTTTTATAAAATAATGCAAGTTTCTTATTTTTGAGTTTTATTAAAGCTGTTAATTTTAAATATTTCTATACACAGTTTAAAAAGTATTAAAAGATTCACCCTGCATACAACGAAATATCTAAAAAGAAGAAAAGTTATAGCTTACCTGCAATAATGGTCGCTGAACTTTTTTCAAGTTCGTCATCCAAAAGCGTTGTGCCCTTCTAGCGATGAGCGCCGCTCTGATGGCGTTCTCGAACACTTCGTTAACTCCATAATAGGTAAGTACCGACGCTTCGTAATAAAATAGACCGAGCTCGCGGGCCACGTCTCGAGCTTCGTCGGGCATCACCAGGTCGCTCTTTCTGGTCGCCCGCACGAATGGGCTGCGGTCCCGGAAGTAGCTGAGGTACGCCTCGTCGCGGTACATGTACCTAAATCAGGAAATATGATTGTATTTTTTATTTACAATATTTGTAATTTGGGACACTTTGGGCCATTTTCATCTATTTTTCTCTAGATTTGGGGAAATTTGTAGATCTGGCAACACCCCGCCGCATGAATCAATGGTATAGTGTGGGTGATAATTATTATTTTACGTTGATCCTCAATTATTAAATTTTAGTATAACTGTTATAGCTATAATAAACAGGGTGTCTCATTAGTCCGTAATTGTTCATTAATTCAAGTTTCAAATACAAGTTATATTAATTTTAAAAATATTTTTGTCTGGAAAATAAAAATGTATGTTTTTTAAATAGAACACCCATTATTTTATTATATTTTTAGAATGGTTTGGTAATACTGCATTCAAACCTAGAATGTTTTTAAAAAATATCATAATGTTGCCAAGCAATTAATTTTTCTTTAAAATTAGAGAATAATGCAGACCCCCAAATTAAATTATCATAATTTAGGCAGGTTTAAATTGATTTCAAAAGTGTTTATAATGTACAAATTTATAAGATACTAAGCTAACAAATAGTAGTGATAGAACTGGTTTTGCCTAAATATGGCTAACTTTAAGTTCAATTTATTCATTTTTTTTCAAATTGAACACCCTGTTTATTATTTATAAAATTTCTTATAAATTTGCCTATACAACGATACCAATTTGTTAGCCAATAACACATATACAGGGTGTCCCATCAGTTCGTAATTGATCACTAGCTGTTTTATTATTAGAAATACGAAGAAATTTTTAATATAGAAGTTGTATGACCATAGTTGAAATTATTCCTAAATATACAGAGTGGTCCATAAACGAGGTGCTGATCAAATCTACACTTTTTTAAAGCTAGGCACCCTGCAGGTAGTTACACATATTTGATTGTTTTCATATCGTTAAACAATTTTAATTGACTTATTCATTTGCTATGTTGTATATAGGGTTTGTCAAAACGTGAGGTTGCGATTTTCTCAATTTTTTAAATGGAATACCCTGTATTAATTAATTGGTGGTATAACATATAGGGTATTCCATTTAAAAAATTGAGAAAATCATTACCCCGCATTTTTACACACCCTATATACAACATAGCAGATAAATGAAGTCTATTAAAATTGTTTGACAATGTGAAAACGATCAATTCTGTACCCCAGAGCCAGAGTATGGTAAGTCCAAAAACTTAGTTTTTCAGGAGAGCATTTTTAATATATTCATTTTAGACTGTGGACTGTGGGTTTAGCGTAGTTAAAAATTAGCCATTTTTGTTATTTTAAAAGATACGTCAAAATGGAAAATACCAAACGATGCGCAGCAAAATTTTAAGCCACTTAACATATTTAGCTGAAATTAGGCCAATTTAGACTTAACCTAGTCTGGCTTCGAGGTACATATATGTATGTATAACTACCTGCAGGCAGGGTGTTTTGCTTTAAAAATGTATAAGGTGTAACATTTTAAAATTCCTTTTAAAAATGGTTTTCTGAATGTGTGTCATCCTGTTTAAAAATAGTACTCGAACAATTTAAAATTTAATTATAGCCGCACACAATATTCTTAAGAAAGGGAAATTTCGCGAAGTCGGAGTTCTAGTTGGCAGTCGATGTGCAAATCTTTTCTTGAAATTCATTTTCACAATATATCTTGATAAAACCAGTGTCTTTGGCTGCGAATAGCGGTGTTATTATTGTCATTAAAAACAAATATATCTCAGTAGAAATTATATTTCTACTTTTTGTTAGTTATAAGTTTATTTTTTAAAAGTAAAGTTAATTTATTCAATATGGTTTAGTAATTCCTTTTATGTTTCTTGGATTACACATTGTATTAATTAATTTTCATTGTTAAATTTTTTTTTAAAAAGTTGTTATTTAAAAGTTTGATTTATATCTCATACAAGAGCCTCGTTTTTTTCGTTTTGTTAGAGTATTGTTACTAGTCATTATTAACTGACCTACAATTTCAATTTAAAAATCTTATAAACTAATTATTTATCTAAATTGTTTCTATAGAAAAACTATGAAGACTAGATATAAGGAGACGAATCGGCATACTCAAAATACGGTCCCAAAAAACGCATGCTAATTGAGCTTCTATAATTAACCGCATGGGCGCTGGTACTGCATACGTTGTTCAAAATACATGGCTTCTTATATGAATTATACATAATTTTGTCAAAATAATCAAAATAAACTGATTTACAGCTAAATAACGCACAGAACATACTGTTGTATTTATTTCTAAATAAGTCTTGCTTGTTTTAATTGATGAATTATTTAATTTTATCTATATAAAATACAAATTAGGTATGTATGACCAAATTTGAAAAGGTTTCTTAATTGCTGAAATTTGATAAGTACCTACAATTTTGTGGCAAATTTGTTTTTCGACGACCACTACAGAAAATTATAAATTCCGAATTGTTTTTTAAGGGTCAAAGTAGGCAATTCCGTTCACATTCATAATTAGTGTGGAAATATTATTCCAAACGGTAATTCCACACTGTTTAGTGCATTGAATAAATTGTCGAATAACCTTTAGTATGAATGAAAAAACACAATATTATATTTTAAGGACATATCTATTTAACTAAATATTTCGTCGAATACTGCAAAATTCAGTTAATTTAGAAAAAAAACTTAAAATAATTTATAATTTATGTAATGTTGGTTGCCTATATAAAGGGGATAATACAACAAAAATTTAAATCGAGTTACCCGATTTAAAATATTGACATTTCAAATCTTGACATTTAATTTATTTTATTTCGATACTTTTGAAAACTATAAATAATAAAATGGACAGTGATAGTAATAGTAGTGATAATAATTATAATATTCCACCACATATTAAAGAAATAGCGAATAACATTACAGAAGACTGATTGCCTCAAACATCGGCGAAAAAATACAACTTAGCTTATTCTAGATTTATGGATTGGCGACTACAAAATAAGGTGAACTCCTTTTCAGAAACTATTTTAATAACTTATTTTGGGGAGCAATCGAAATCTTTTAAATCTTCTACATTATGGTCAATTTACTCGATGTTGAGAACTACATTGTCAATAAGGCAAAATGTAGATATTTCACGCTATCAAAAATTGCGCTCGTTTCTGAAAAGAAAGTCTGAAGGATACTTACGTAGCAAAAAAGTCAAAAATACTTACACCTGAATAAATCAACCAATTTTTAAATGAAGCTTCCGATGATGTTTATCTACTTATAAAGGTAAATACTTAATAATATGAGAGATTAATATTTTTTCATGTTAAATTTTATTTTATAGACAGCTCTGATTTTGGGAATAATGGGAGCATGTAGAAGAGAAGAATTAAAAAATTTAAAAATGTGTGACGTACAAGACATGGGCTCTGCTGTTTTAGTCAATATAACAAAGACAAAAACTAAAGTTCCTAGAAAGTTTATGGTTACTGGAGATTTTTATGCAATATTTAAAAAATATGACACTCTTCGTCCTTCAAATATACCTCACGATTATTTTTTTACGAATTATCAAAAGGGCAAGCGCACAGTGCAACCAGTAGGAATCAATAAATTTGGAAATATGACACAACAAATTGCTGAATATTTGAAGTTACCAAATCACAAAAATTATACAAGCCACTGTTTTCGCCGTTCGTCCGCAACAATTCTAGTTAATTCTGGAGCAGATATAACAAAGCTTAAAAGACACGGCGGATGGAAGTCAACTACAACCGCGGAAGGATACAAGGATACATCGATGACAGTTTATCACATAAAATGGATATCGCAAATTCAATTCTACATTCTGTAGAAAATAACAATTAAAAACCTGAAGCTTCTACTAGCAGAATATCTATTTCAGAAACAACATATGAAAATAACCATCCAAGGTCATGATTTACCACCTCTTAATATTTCAAACTCTAATGTTAATATTAATTTTTATAATAAATAAATTTGTAATTGAAATTTAAGAAAATTCAAATACGTTTATATAGTTTAGTGAATTATTAAACAAAATTAATAGTGGTAATAATTTGTTTTATTTTATTTGGGACACAAACAGGGACGATGTCCACGAAAAATATGAAAAAGAAACTATGTTAAGTACACATTTAAAAAGTGATAACAATAATAAATATTTACCACCTCTTTATATTTCTAATTTTAAATCTCTCTCTCTCTCTCTCTCTCTCTCTCTATATATATATATATATATATATATATATATATGTATATATATATATATATATATATATATATATAAATAAAAGGAGATAGTTTTTTCGACCGGAAAATATTTATTTTTAAGTGAAGATAACATCAGGTTAGCGGTCCTAAGAAATAAAACTCTTTTCCTTACTTGCTCAATATTTCGCCTTTGTTTAATAGCTTCATCAGGAGCGAACTACAAGATTTTTAAATGAAACAATACACTAATAAAATAATTTAAAATTACTACTTACAGGATTTGAGTCAATCGAATAAAATTTTAAATAAAAACAACATTACACTTAAACAAACTTTCGGACAGTGGACACTTTAAAAATTTAACAGGTTGATAAAATTAAAAATAAAAAGTGTAGACTAGAAATAATTATAGTGAGATAAAACTAAATGATTTTTAATATTGTACAGAGTGATACTTAAATTTTATTTAGAATATTACAATAAATGTTGCTTAGTTGGTTTATGTCAGATTTATAATTAATAGTGTTTTTAGTTTTATTAATGTAGTACATTTCCAGAAATAACCTATTCTTGTATTTGTTTTCTTTTCCTAAAATTTTTATCTCCGTGTAATCAAACTCATGTCCCGTATTTATATGGTGTTCCACCGCCGCCCATGTATTTTTTTTGGTACGGCAATCGCTTTTGTGTTGAGTCACTATTTGCTCCTTACAATCCGCTAACCATCAAGAACGTATTCTCAAAAGTAAAGGACAAAACACCAACGTTATTCAACAGCAATGTTGTTTACAGTTTGCCTTGTTCAGGGTGC